GATGTGAGTAATCTTTGACAGTGAGTGAATGATTGAAGGAAGAGCCATTTCCTGCTGCCAATTTGTTATTGCAATAAGGGCTCAAGAATTTTGTTCTTTGGACATGTGTTTGAGAGAAAAATGGTTTTGTGGTGGGTCCCACTTGAGTTGAATGAAGCATGGGGATTAAACTGAGCCTTTACAGTATTGTGTTACATGGTCAGAGTGCTACTGTTGTTCCCACACATGTCGGACATGGTGGAGACAAATATCCAGTTCACATGAGAATCAAACAGACACACAGGACTATTGGTAGTATAGTGTTATAACTGCTCTGCCACTTGGAATTGTTTTAGTGAGTATTCCGGAAGGTCTGGTTCTCCAAACAGCAGCATTTTCCTTATAACAACAGTGGTGGCATGCATCAGGGCAGGGAGTGTGTATTCAAGCAGGACAGGGAGACAGTGAGGTGGGAGTTTTTAGGGGAAAAGTTCATTCCCAACATTATCTGAAAGATTCTTGGAATGTACAGCCTCGAGTTAACCTATTAGAAAACAAATTGAGGTTCTTACCTTGACTTGAGTGTCCGTGACTCGAACTCTCCACCTTTCCTGTTATAGCCAGGAGCCAAAAAAACTGCCACCCACCACTAATTACACAATAAGTGACTGGCAAATTCTGAACCTAGCCGTGCTATAGGATACCTCTTGGCCACAGGGTAAGTGCACCACTTTGTCTGTGTCTATAGAGAGTTGGTATCCAACTCGGCACATGTGACTATTGTGCTGTGCTGTGTGGAGTGTCTGGCTGGCCTGAAGCCCCTGTGTGAAATGCCCGCCTGGCTGCCAGCATGAAAACAATGGAGCTGATTTGTAGGCTAATCATGGCTGTGAATAACAATGTTTATCTGCTAGCAACCTCTGATTGGTCAGATGGCTGTCACCATGGAAACAAGCACTGGGCTGTACTACTTTGAAGACATGATAAGGGGATCATCAAATGAATGTTATTTTCTAAAAAAAATATAATAACCCAATTTAGATCAATTGTATAGATCTATAAAGTGGGCTATTCTTATTGTTGCTCCGATTTTATTGGTTACAAATACTGGGTAGGGTGAAAAAAATAATTGCTACAGTATCTAAAACTTCTGGTACTTTACCATAATTACGTAAAGATTACTGAAAAATTTACCTTTTCTTGTCTCCTCTCTTCATAGTTATCTGCCATCCACCTTCCGGCATGGCAGCAGACATCTTTTCCCCATTTTTGGCATATTGACAACTGTCAGAAGGCAACAAAATTTCTTGTTGTTTTTTTTCCAAAATCAGGCGAAAAATAATGCGCGCACTGATGTCATCCATAAAAATTACTTGCTGTGGCCTAACATCATTAAACATGCACGTGACTTCTGTTATTGTAGTGTAAATGCTGACTCTAAAATGGTTCACATCCAAAACTGCCTTGTGATTAGACTGATGATTTAATGATTTTGTGTTTCACATTTCAGTGCTTTGCAAAGTACATATGTCATTATGTGTATACTGTAGTCTTAACTGTAAATACCATTTCTATTCTAATGACACCTTTTTTTGTTCAATGACGACACGCCTCTGCCTAAAAAGCCCCATGTGTGGAGTCTTTATTAAATCCAAGCCTCTTTTCAGTATGATATTGCCTGCAACAAATTGAATTGCAGCAGAGGAGACGCAGGTCAGCAGGCCTTCAAAGGGAAAATCAATGCTTGAAGGACATTTTGGTGGAATGATATATCACATTTTCACAGAGGGACTGTACGATATTTAGTGGGGGAGGGATCACCGTTCATCAGAGGGGGGTGGGATAAGTGAATTTTCAGCCTTTGGAGAGGGTCAACTTTGTATTGCAATAACACTTAACTAATCAGGAATTGCTGGAGTTGAATCCCACACATTACACATTACACATTGCAAAACATAGTATGTACCTTTATTTGGAAATACAGTGTAAATGCTTTGCACCAGATAAAGCAGAGCTGCCCCCTATCTGATGAGTAATACATTGCAGCCATCAATATAGATTCCTTCACTGATTGCATTCCTCTGTGCATACAGATGCAGTCACTGTTATTACCAAGATGACCCAGTAAGTATCATAACAGAAGTTTTCCTCACACAACAACAAGTACAGCAACTTTCATAAGGTCAACTACAAACTGCAAAATAGGAAATTACAAAATACATCTAAACTCTACTTACAATACTTGTAAGCAATAAGTGCTTGCATATTATAACCGGTAAGGAAATCTGGTTACAATCATGCAGGTAGGGCTTATTTTTACCTTCGCCAAGAAGGTTATGTTTTCGTTGGCGTTCGTGTGTCTGTGTGTGTGTGTGTGTGTGTGTGAGCACGATAACTCAAGAAGGCTAAGATGGATTGTCTTGATACTTGGTAGGTGGGTAGGTCTTCATGAGACGTGGAACTGATTAGATTTTGGGCCCCCTAGCGGCTTGTTATGGTACTGCAGCTGAACTTCCGGTTTTGATATCTCGTGATCTAGACATGCTAGGGTGACGAAATTTGGATGGAAGGTAGCTCTTGTGCTGGGGAACAAGTGACGTGAGTTTGGGCCCCCTAGCGGCTTGCTCTGGAACTGCAGGGACATTAGTTGAAAAATGTTTAAAGGCGGATAACTCAAGAACCGACTGATGGATCGTCGTGATTTTTAGCATGTAGGTAGCTGAAGCGATGCTTGACATAATGATATTACAATTATGCAAATATTAATGTAATTTGCATAATTAATGAGGAAATTCTATAAATCAGCTGCATTCCATGATAGGACGATTTAAGCTTGTGACATGTAATTCAGAACGGCAGAAATACAGGCAGATATTGATTGTGCAAATGAAGACTTAATTTGCATAATTAACAAGAAAATGTTATAATTACATAGTGGTAATGTCTGGAATTTCATACTTGGGATATTTGAAACTTATGTGAAGGTGAACATAATGAAACATAACTTATTCAAATAAGGAACTCATTTGCATAATTTATGAGAACATGCTATAATGGCATGCATTGATAAGATAAGACTTCTTGTGTAGAATATGATCAACAGATATAATTGATGCAATATAGGATCCTATTTGCACAATCAGGGGGATTCATCTATAATTTCTTAGTCATAAAGGCTAACATCATTTGGCGAAGGTATGAGATCGTGGAACTCTAGTTGTTTTCTGTATCTACTCTAAAAGTAATTTTTTATGTATTTACCTATTTCAAAGACATAAGCAGGGCCGTACTTACCATCCCAGGTGGTTGAGGAGTGGGATTAGTTCATCAGACCTCAGGTGACCAGGGAGCCAAACTACTTAGGCTCCCATTACAACCAACATTACCTCAAATTAGGGTATTACCCTGGCTAGGGTCTCAACTACTTCTACTATGTGCCCTGATTAGGAATAGGTTAGTAGTTAAAGGTTAGGAACAGAATTTTCCACCTCTCCTGTTGCTTGATTGTGTGACTACCAATACTGTACCTTCATTTATTTTTGCCAGGACTATAGCAGGGGAAGGAAGTTATTTGCTGTGTTTTAAGTTTACGGTTGACACAATTCTATAGTTCAGTAGTAAACATTGGAGATGCAGTGTCATGCTTTCACGATGGAAGGTTTACTCTGTAAATCATAAAAATAGAACAATATACAAAAGTTTCAAGCTTGACAGCAGTACAATGAAGATTTTCTTGTGAATGGTATTGAATCTTCAGAAGAGGTACATTTTCCAGGTAGGCTGAGGAGTACTTAACATTCTGAAAGGTTGCCAAATGGTGTAACTTGGCATTCGTCTATATAAAAGGAATTCAATCACAGGTAAATGTACCTTCCGAATGGTTTGAGATCAATAGTAATAGGGTTGGGGTTCTAGTTTCAAATCACCATCTGGCCACACGGAGCATTATTGTCTGTAAGGGACTGGAAACTTAATCTTGATTTAGTAGAAAATAACCTTGGACGTTCAGCACAAATCTCGACTTCTTCAATGGGGGCTTGCATGTCCTTTTCCATAGAGTGTACTCGGCCATTTTATTTCTATTCAGAGTGTAGACTGGCCGTTCTAATTCGACGTAGAGTGTAATTGGCATATTTTGCAATTTTGCGTAGAGCATAATTTGTGGTTTTAATTCTACGTAATGCGTTGTACCTACTTGGAATTTAACATAAAACATAATGGGGGCCCATGCAGGCCCTCTTCCATGTAGATGAAGGTTAGATATCCAGGTTTAACATTACTAGTATATAATGCAAGATAAGCAACTGTAGTCGGAGGTTTCATTTTAACAGGAATAACAATGAAGTTTTTTCAGTAACTATTTGTACAGCAATTTAGATTATATAAAGGTTATACTTGTCTTTAGATTCATTCTCAGTCACTGATGAAAGATAATGGATGCTATCTGGCATGTCTGACTCTTCAGAGAATTTATCCTGTTTCTTGAATCAAGTTTTTATCTTGGAGCATATTTAGTACATTGTATTTGGATGTGTCACTGGAATTAGACCACATCGACCAGTTAATAGCACAGAAGCCAACTGTGTAATGTGGTATAAAAGTCCTTGATGAAATGTCCAATAGCTGGGAAAGCAGAAATCAATAGATGCACATGGAAATGGACGACTTTTGTTATTCCTAAATTATAGGGGTAGGCAGTTATTGATCTGATTTAGAGCATTATGAATGCTCAGGTTCAATATCTGCTTCAATTTCTTCTGTATGTACAGTATCATCTTTCATATGGAGGTTTTATGGTGTATAAGTTCATGGTTGAATCAATTCCATAATACTGTAGTAATGCATTAGATATGCATATTCACACATATTGTCTTGAATTTGTCGAGATCTTATTGTAAAACTTCAAGGATGAAACCAGAATGGACATTTCAAAATTTACAGTACATGAATAAAAGAATATTCCAGGGACATCCTGACATGCCTAGCATGTGGAAGCACAAGCAAACATACAAACAAACTGAATACAAAACCTCTGTGGAGGTTAACATATCTGTAATCAATGCCTCATGCAACTTTATTTGACATTTCCATGACACCTTAATTTGCACCCTGTTTCCTCTTCTGATATGAGTAATGATATGCATCAGTTTTGGCAACTGAAAAAAAAAGGCTAGATAGTACGGTACTTACATTGTACACTTGACTTAAATCAATTTTAGAGATTCAACAGATGACTGCTTGTCCTATCTTTACAAGAAGAAGAAAACGTATATGTAATACGATGTATCTGGAATAAAAAAATGTACTGTATGTATCTAAGAACACTCCACAGGTGTCATTAATACCAAGTTTGCTGCATCACCTACACAGGAACCTGGACTACATGTAATGAAGGGTAACAATAATCTATGAGACTTCTGTCCCCTGTATACCTGACTATGCTGCCTGCATTTTATCACTGGTGATAATCCAAATAGGTTAATTTCCTTCTGCTTAAACTATACAAATATCAGTATCTTACTTGATAACAGATGATATTGATTTCAATCTTGCTTAAAATTTATTGATAGTAAAAGCAGTATTACTTGAAAACACTTTAACTTCATCTTCAAGCAGATGCATATGTATGGATGACTTATTCTGGAGACGGATCCTTACATCTGTTTGAAGATGAACTGAGCATAGGACAGATGAGATATTTGACAGGATTGGTATTGACTAACAAGGATCAAGCTACCTTTTGTATGACTAGAATACAAAATACTGGCTCCTGCTTGATATGTGCATGGACTGCTATGAATATCTTATTAAGTTTGTCAAGTATTTTTTGCTTGTAGACTATACATAGTGTATGAGCTATATACATAAGCTGGCTTAACTTTGTACATCAGTAGACTGAACTACAGTACTAGTATCCTGATTCTAAGACAGCACAGTAGCTCAATCTGATTCACATCAGATTCTGTACATTTGTACATATTTATTTACATCTTTAGATTGTCCTGGCATTGCCAGTGACTAAATAAGTTTTGACTCTCTGTATGATTTGTTTTCCTCCGGAATAAACACCAGAGTTCCATTGGGAGTCTCTATTATTGATGGATTTTCTATGACTGTTGCATCGACAGGGATTTCTGGCACGTTGTTCCCGTTGGCTGTGTTCCCATTGGGCTCAACCTTGTCCATCTGTAAGGCCATGGGGTTGGCTACGATGTAACCCCCATCTTGGGCCTCGGCTTTCCTAGCAGCATCTTTTCTCCTCTTCTTCTTCATGAAGTACCAGGCTGCTACACCACCACCTATGGCTAGCAGTATGAGGGGTATCCCCAACCCTGCTCCTAACTGGTCTCTTCTGAACTGGTCCCATGGAATGTTTGCTAAGGGGTTCGATTTTGTTGTTGTACTTGTTGTTGGAATCCCTGTGGTTGTTTTAAGGACAGGTTTGGTTGTTGAAGGTGGTGATTGTGTTGGTGTTACTGCAGCTGGTGTGGTTAGTACTTTCTGTGTCGTTTGCTTTGGAGTTGTTGGAGGCTCCTGTGTCGTGTTCTGTGGCACAGGAGTGGAGTTTGTTGGTCTGACCGTTGGCATCGATGTCGTTGTTACTGCTGTTGTTGTTGTTGGAACAATGACATTTACCCTGTATGTGACCTGGTCACTGCCAACAGAATTGTTTGCACCACAAACAAAATGGCCCCCAATGTTCGTGGTTATGTTAACAATCCGCAGGCTTCCGTCCCTGCCAATATTGAACCGCGTGTCTCCATCTGTCCACGTGTGGGGAACGGGAACTGTTCTCCCATCCGAGAGTCTCCAGTATATTGTCGGTAGTGGCAGCCCTCTGGCCTGACATGGCAGATTAACAGTGCTGTACATGGATGTGTTGATGTGCAGGTCACTGGTGTTGTATATTGTAGGCGGAATGCAGGTCAAGTTGTGGGACTCCAGTGAAGACAAGAGAGTTCCCTGCAATCCAGCTGGTTCATCACAACTTGGAGAGTCGAATTGCAAACTTGAATTTGCATCTTGCTGATTAATCCATGTAATGACCCATTGCGAATTACAATCACAGCTCCAAGGGTTGCCGGAAAGTGAAAGAAAGGTCAGGTTTGGCAACGGTTGGAGTATATCAGCAGGCAAAGTCTGTAATCTGTTACCTGTCAGGTTCAAGGAGGTCAGCTCTGAGAGCTGGGCAAACTGCCCTGATGTTGCATCTTTGATGTCGTTCTGTGAAAGATCAAGTACTTTCAAGGACCTCAGGTCTACAAAAACGTCTTGAGAGAGTGTTTGTAACATGTTGCCCTGTAGGAGTAGTGATCTAAGGTTGGTTAGCCCTTGAAAGCTCCCACTGTCTATGGTAGAGATACTGTTCCATCCAAGTTTCAGTTCTATTAAGCCAGTAAAGTTGCTGAAGATGCCACTGGTGTTCAGAGTGATCCTACTGTAGCTGAGGTCCAGGGTGGTTACAGTAGCAGGTATTCCACTGGGAATGGTAGTAAGACTGGCATTACTGCAGGCTACAGTCGGACCATTACACTGACATTCCAAGGGGCAAGCCAATGTCCCACCAGCCAGTACTACACCCCCGGCAGCAACAACAAGATATATCCAGGCCAGCATGGTTAAATCCCACTCAAAATTCCTGTGCAGAGTTGTTGTATGCGCCCACAGCATGCACGAGGGCTGTCCAGCTTCCCTCCTGCCCATCCTCACCGTAATTTTATTGAACCGGCACCCAGACACGTCTCCCTGCAAAAACACCAGGAAACAGAAACATAAGCAAACAGTTTATACATAGAAATCAATGCAGTAGCATTTGTATACACATGTAGTAAATGAGCCATGGTGTACTCACTGACACTGATGACCAACAAGGAGCTGACGGGCCAGCTGGAGGAACAATCTCTGTTAAGATGCCTCCAAGTCAGGTTAACATCACAAGATGTAGGGAAGGACTTCTAAGGAGCTAGCAGAGTGACAGGCACAAAACATGTGCTGTTTTGGGTGTCCCCTGGCCACCGCTGGGGTATAACATTACAGTATATAGGGGGAGGGCTGACCCAAAGGATGGGTCCTTCTCTATCAGCAAGGACACACATTCACACCTGGACGGTGCATTTACAGGGTCCAAAGGAAATGTTCCGTAATCCTTTTTGCCAAACTTACTTGCGATGCAGGAGAAGTTGTTTTGGTTTTAACATATGGCAGCCATCAGGTGTGTTTGACATTTCTGTGGGGAGAGCTGGAGGTAGATAGCCATCAGGCTGAGGCCCTGCACCAATCACAGCTGCAGGGCAGACCCCTCTCCCTGAACTATTTGTACAAAGTTGTAACACCCTGGGTAAAGAATGCAGGCTATGTGACGGCCTGTCAGTCCGCATGTACTCTTCCCGCACAGGATCGTAGAGCAACAGTGCGAGTTATGCCTCCTGTTCCAATCTTTATGTCGTGAATAAAATGTTGTAATATGAGTGGAAGACTTATCCACAAGCCCTGACTATAGAGCCTGCCCAGATTACATTGATAGGTCTGGAGTTACTACAGTTAGGTATGTGGCCTTTGCCCTTGAGATGTTTGGGACTAAAAGCACTTCCAAGGTTTCCACAACAGCTCGAGAGGCAATTTTAAGTCGAGTCCAGGAAACATAACGGAAATCTGGAGAAAGTGGAATTACACACTCATCTAGATGAGTCAAAGCCCACTTAACATACTGAATCATCTCAGATGAAAGATTTGCAAAAGCTGGAAGAAGTAACTAGATCCACCAAAGCAAGGACAGGTTAGGTCAGGATTAGGATCATAGGAGGGTCTCTGTGTCTGTCCAGTTCTGTTGACGTTGATACAATGAAAGATTCTACTTGTATCTTATGCTGTTCTGCATTTTACCTTTATCATCTATATTTTATCAGAGTTTTTAAGAAAGTTTTCTCCATGTATATGTCTGATCCATGTCTTCTACTGACTCCTTTACAGCCCTACTGGATTCTTGCCCTTTTCCCGGGTCAGAGTGGCCTGACAAACCAAGCCCTAGACACTGATGTAAATCTTAGCCCCAAGCACCAGTCCTGATGTATGATGTATGAGGAAACTGGATCATTTGCCTTTGTGTTTCATGCCCTTTTAAAAAGATTTAGCACTCTTTCGTGGTATTGTATTTTTTAAAGTCTCACCTTCTCATACAACATTGCAAGAGCAGGCACAAAACACTGAAAATGAGCTAGATCCTCACATCTGCTTGAATATTGCCATAGATCACCTCTGCAAGGGTGTTGACAGGTCATTTATATGCAGCTGTCCCCTAAAACAAACCTATCTCTCTGTGGATTCCTCATGGCAATTATCTGCAGATTATTTGCAATGGCACAGATCTCTTAATCCTTGTGTTTGCATTGGAGATAAGGTAATTGTCCTGGGGAGTATTGCATGGGAGAATATGGAAAATTCACAACATGATGTTCAACCTGTAAATAATGTTACAGTTATATAGAGGTGTGTCTGCTTACTACAGTGCCTTGTGGATGATACCAGACCTTCATAGAATTTGATTTGTCTGCCCCAAATTCTCAAGAAAATCGTATAAGAACACTACTCACAATGAAAAACTACAGCCTTGGGACCGATCTTGAGTTTTATTACTGCTATCATAATGATATATGCTACAGTCTGACCTAATATAACGAAATAGCAACAATTTGTCTCAGCAAAGAATCTGCTTATTCTCTGGCATTTAAAAAAGAGTAGCATCCATCCTGTTCATCTCCATAGCTAGGCAGATCTGATCTTATCAGACTGAGGCACCACAGGGTGACAGTAATGATAATTAAGTGGGGAGGGGCAGACATTACTGCATGGACCTGGATTTCTTCTACTTCTAGCCTCCAACAGCCGGGAACAGGCCTTCCTAAGGGACATTTATTCTTATAGATAGTAGAATTTGGTAGAAGTAGGCCAGGAGAGTCCATGGTACAATGTGGACTATGGTAAGGGTACTAGTATTACACATGGCAGGCAAATGAAACCATATGGTGACCGAACCTATTTAGATTTTACAACTCAAATTTCAGGTAGTGTCAGTAGTCTGATGAAGAGGAGGTTTCTTTTGGAGGTACATGTACATTGGCATGGGAACACATTTTCTGTGAGTCTCTAGTTTCCTTCTTGACAGAGATGTGGTAGTATGGAGGGGTAGCCCTGTACTTGAAACTGCCCAAAATATTTGGTTGTGACTCAAGTCTGTGGTCGAGATATGTGTACTCAGAGCTTGCATGCAAACAAGTTGGCAGCTCATCTGAGTGGGTTTGCAGCTGCCCAAGAGTTAGGATGTGCCAACACATGTTGTAAATACCTCGATGCACATACCAAGGTGGAAGTGACATTGGCGTAAGGTCAACTGAAGTTCACAAGGCCTGTAATTGACATGGTAGCACCCCACAATGTTTCCAAACCACATGATTGCTAGACTTACAAGAAGTGTGGTTTCTGTTCCTTTCAGCTTGGTTAGCTGGTATTTTAGGAAAATATATCCCCAAGGAATTTGTAACAGTAAATCTGAACTAGAGACACTGGCCTTTGACCGAACTTGCTGGAACACTTTGACTGCGTCATGTGTTGGAAGACATGGGAGCCCCTAAGTCAAGGAATTTGTACATATGTGGTGAAAATGACTACCGGTAACTGTTTGTGTAATATGGAACATACAATATAATCTCCAGGCAGATCATTTGGGGCAGAATCGTGTGGCCCATACCTTCAGGGCTTTGAGATCATATCAGTCATGATTTGCCCCCCCCCCAAAGATCTGCTTGGAGGGATACAAACATGGGACTTATGCATTTTGGATTCTTATGGCTAGGGTTTCGTCTGTTGTTCTCTTGCACTGCTTTCTATCTTCTGATAGGCGCCTGCCTCTGACATGCATTGTACATTCTAGGCTGCTGTAGCGTATAGTCTGGTATGGCCTGCACTGTCATGCAAGATTTCCTGGTGATAAAGGGAGAAATTTCACCACTGCTATCCATGGGAGTCCAGGTCTTTCCCCAGACTGACTGGCGACAGGAGCCAGACAATGTCTGATGCACTTTGTCCCATTTAGGTGTGGCAGTGACCCTCGGCTGTGGCATAATATAGTCTGCAATACCATCAGTGATCAGTGTTCTAGCCAGCATGTGTCTTTCCATCATGTCGAAATTTTGCTGCTCATGACAGTCAAAAGTTTGCCCAATCTGTCACCTTTGACAGACAAAAAACGATGTGTAAAGATATGGAAAGAGATGTCATTATGTCATTGAACTAGCATTAACAACTTTTTCCTTCAGCAAAAAGGATTTCAGAGGGTCAAGATTTCAACATTTTTCTGGGGGAGCATGGCATTTGAAATCAAACAAACTTGAGATGATGGAAGAAAATTTCAGGCTGGCTAGTACACTGAGATCCATATTTACTTTCATCCTGTACAGTACCGGTATTAAGACTTGAGAATGTTTTCTGGTTGAGCAGATGGACCAACATAGATCAAACTATGTCAGGTATCTGCTCAAACCTAAAAAAACAGTTCAAAAGAGATGGGATTGGGAGGAGTATTTCCAGCCTTGGATCAGGAATTCTTTAAGCTCCAGTGTGCCCCACCCAGTCTTTCCTCTAATCAAGGAGGTTCAAAAAGAAACCACCGCTACTCAACCCTGCCAATGTGACCACTTTTTTACTTTTCCCATTGACGCAAGAATTAAGAATCCTGCCCAAAAGTAACCACCTGTCCACATAGACCAGATTTTATCAGTCCCCCAAGTGTCTTCTTGGGCAGTTTTGACCATACAGAAAACATGCAATGTAGCTTACCTTCAGGTTCTATAAAGCTGTCGAAGACCTGCTCAGTTACTTCAGAATGGTCCTTTTGGTTAAATCACAACATAAAACACTTTCAGATCAGTCTGTAAAGGTGTCTGTCCACTCGTAACACCCACACCAAACTGAGACATTAGGCACTGCCCTATGCACATGTACCGACCTTAACACCCGGCCTATCCCTGATGAAGTGACACAGGCTCTTCTCAGCCTCTGAGAGTCGGTGTATATCAATCCAAAACACATTACAGCGGACATTCAATTTACTCACAAGTCCACACGATTCATCACCATGATTACTAGTTCCTTTGTCTCCCCTTGTAACATACGAGTGAGGCCTCTTTTCCACTACACAGTGTTTGCTGAGCTACTGTACAATGATCAAAATCTTCTTTGTGTGACCCTTGACTTCATAATTGGAATATGACACAAGATGTAAAGCAAAGACAACAAAATGCACAAAATGCAAATAAATCAGTTCTTTATCTATGAAATTGAGCGATCTGTCAAAACTTTGGCTGCTCAACACTTGCAGCATCTAGTAGAAAGGTGGTGTAATCTAGAGGATGTAAACCAATGTGTTGCTATAAGAGAAATACTAGTAGTTCATCTGGCCAGATCTTTCCCTAATGCCAGGTGGCCTGCGTGCCTCTGGTACGAAGTATCACATACCTTGCCTGACAGACAGTCAGACTGCTGTGAATATTATCACCCTCTTATTAATTGCATTCATCAGTCCAGAGAAAATCAATTGTTTGCGGAGACTGACTCTTCAGGGAGTAAGTAAAGCATGATAGATTCACCTTGCTGGGATTGTGAAAATTGAATACAGTCAAAACTGCCCAAGGAGACCACTCAGGGGGATCAATAAAATCTGGTCTACGTAGACAGGATACTTAATTCTTGTGTAAATGGCAAAAAAATTCTAAGGGACCACCAAGAAGTCATCAGATTGGCCAGGTGGAGGTAGTCACATGTACAGGTTTGACTATATATCAATGGCCAGGTGGTCCTTATGTACAGGCAGTCTCTCGTACAGAATTGACTGTATATTCTACTTATCAAAACTGAGGGCTGTTTGAGTCAAATGTAGCTTGGAGAAGAAACCCGGGGAAAATAGATATTGTTATGGCTGTCCCCTCCCTCTACTTTGTGTTCCTGGCGCAGCTGCTGGGGGGCCATTCTTTCACACCTTTGGAACCAACAAGATTACAGCGCCTGATCAGTTCTGGGGAAAACCTCATTATGACTCGGATTGCCTGTCATGTCTGACAGAATAAGACATCAATACAGGTGGCTGGGATACAGTAAATTCATCTATTTCTATGGGGACTTAGTTTCGCGGTAGAAGGGGAAAGGAGATTTTCACAGTGTTGAGGTGGAAATGAGTCTGTAGTACAGTAGTAATGCATTGGAAACGCATATTTGTGGTGTCATGAATGCACAGCGGAGATGTTACTGGGAAAATAAAAACGATACGAACATTTCAAGATGTACAGTTGTAATTTTCCCAAGGTGGGCAGTGCTGTGGTTAGTGTTACTAGCTACCCAGTGGCAGCAGCCACTGTCTATAAATGTCTAATGTAATTAAACAAAATCAATTTCCTGTTAACAGTATCCAATACTGTGACGAGATGCGTTGCTGAAGTTGTAACGGTACAAAAGTTACAAGTGGAAATTCTGGAAGTCAAAATATTAAAAGGTATTAAATGTTGAAAACACAGACTGTCTGTTGTACACACATGACATGAATACTTACCAGTATTTATAATTATATACACTCTGATCAAGGAGGTTCAAAAAGGAAGTTTGAACCTCCTTGCTCTGATACACAATCATTCAAATACGTACACACACACACATGAACAGACTGACATACACTTGTATATCACACAGGAGAAAAAGACACTGTATTACCTCCGTCCAAGGACATTATACAGGAGTGTGATGTATAATGTCCTTTGTTGCTCCGTCTCAGTCTGATCGCATCTGTGTAGAATGCAGACCAGGCCACAGTTTACTGTAGTGCCGACAATACTAAACCAACCTCTGGTCGCAAGGTTTCCACAAGAATTATCCCAATCCCAGCAGCCAGCCTGCTTTATGGCAACACTTTTGCAACACGAGCACTATTGGATTACGGTGGTACGACCTGTAACTGCCACAGCCCATTCACTTTGCTCCTATTGCCTCCGGCCATGGAAAATTGTTGGTAGTAATGACAGAAATACCACAGTAGAGCAATAACGTCTGCCACACCTGACAACTTTTCTGTATTGTTCAGTGCCTGTCTTCCACACAGAAACATTCAGAGACACCCAGTGGGGCGGACTTAAAAGGAACTGTATGATTTTGTAACTGTATAATTTTTGGCAAACAGGAAGTAGAATTTTAAGGTGCTGAGGAGTGTAAGGTACAGGAAGTGGTGAGTTGTTTGGTCAACTTGCTGTCAGGCATTCCACACATTCTTTCTAAAGCTCCTCCCTGTTCCTTCTGACTCAGCAGCTGATCAATTTTGGATGTCAAGACTTCCTCTTCAACTGCAGTATTGCAGGGCTAAGTGTGTTGAGCTCAATGACGATCATCACGAAAGTCAAAGGCAAATATAGTACATAGAAATATGACATTTTTCTTACATTCATTTCTAGAGGTATTAATTAAAGTTTGTATGGGGAAGACAACTCAGGGGATCAATAAAAGGTCTATATGGACAGGTGGTCACTACATACAGATAGATGCTCAGGATTCTTTAAAAAATTGTGAAAATGGGAAAAATTTTCAAAGGGACCACAAAAAAGTGGTCACATTCGTCACTTGGACAGGTGGTCATTGTGTAGAGGTGATAACTAGTTTTGACTACACAAGTGTTAGTACATGTAACATACTATATGAAATAAACATTTGGGTGGGGACTTGTTATCAAATAGCCATCTTTTCTTCCTTTATTGTGTTTGTGTTGGAATAGCCCCAAGCTTTGGGGAACTATAAATAGCACATTCTGCCTGGCCTTTTGTTGTTTCAAAGATTACCTAGTCATTATTGAAACCTGCAATGCTGTGTGACTTCCCATTGAAGGCTGTTTGTATTCTGTGGCTAAGCTTACTGCAAGCAACTTTTTATGGATTACATCTTCTGAAGACACCAAATCTAATGAGAGACTGCTAAAATCAAGGAATGAATTATGTATGTATAAGTCACTCTAATGGAACGATATGGTTTTGGACAAGCACAGTCATTGTTATCAACATGATTAAAAGTTGATATGGCAGGAAAGGTTAGGTTAACAATTTCATTTAAAAAGTGCTAGAACATTCTGGAAATCCTGACCTTCAAATGCACCCTCCACAAGGTCAAGACATTTCCTTGAGGTCATCAACTCATTTCTGACTGTCTGACTCTACTAATAGCTCAAGTATTGCCGTCTCTTTGGATGGGTCATCCTGTATTATTGCCAAGTCATCCATGCAGCTCTGCATTTAGCAATCATTACCAGCACAGGAGCTGTAAACTAGCCACTTCAATTTGCCCCTTTCAATCAATCCGGTGGTCATTTACAAAGCTTGCTTCTCACCAAGGGTAAAAGGTTTTAGCCTGAGTTCAATAGGGACACCTGCTCACTGTGAATTGGTGTTATTTTCTGGGGATTACAAAGTTTGGCTTCAGAGGGAGGAGCAATGTCTGATGATTCGTGTGCCGTACTAATGCCAATGTCAAATGGTACAATAACTCTATCAGACAACATTACACAATAAATCCAGCAACTGGAGCAGACAGCATTTACTATCTTTCATCAGGGCAACACCTGAGACATGGACACCATTTTCAGTGATGTACATGTGTATGTATGGAGTATATGGGCATT